TTCAGACATGTTCATTTTGTCAGCTTTGTATCTCAACACAGCTTGGTGTGAGAAAGTAGTCACCAAGTGTTCTTCTGATTTGCCTTTAAACATTGTAGGTCTGTCTAGAGACAGCTAAGTCTATGCAAAATTTCCCTTCTGCACTAAGTGAACTTTTAATCAGTGCTTGTGTTAGTGCTTTTTTGTTAGTGCATCCTTACACAAGTAAATGGTAAGCTCAGCAATACCAGCCTTTTGATTATTTATTTTTTTACAATGCAAGCATAAAACAAAAATCTGTCTGGCTTATGTTTGTCCAATGATGTTTTTAATAGAATTTGACACATATGTTTCCAAAATTTAGTAGAAAAGTCAGGAAGTACGACGTAGCTGATAATTAACAGTATTCCTTTGAATCAGAAGTTAATTCAGAGCTAATTTGCTGAGGATTATAAAGCATTTATTCATTCTATTTTTTTAATTTATATTTGAGAACTAAATTCTAAGTACTGAGGTTAGGTACAGAGAAACAGAATATGGCATTCTGGCCAATGAGAGTCTTTATCCATTCAAGCTCTGTTTGTTATTGTTTATTAAGTGATGACTGCAGATGGTTAACCCAGCAGGCTGAAGGTTATAAGTGTATAAATAGTACACAGTCACATTTCAGCTCCTTGCTGTCCCCAAGTCATCTGAACAAAAACTACTGTAAAATTAATCTCTTCTTAGTATGATACTGAGCTTACAACAACAACAAAAAAATCTGCTAGGATTGCCAGTTCACTCCTTGACTCCTTGTTTTGGGAGGAGCTACTAAGACACATCTTCTCCCTCTGTACCAGTTTAGCTGGGATGGCCAAAATTAAGAGGGGAAGGATGAAGACAAGGTTTCCTTACTTTCCTTCACTGACCACCTGTTTCTTGTTCATCTAAATAGGAAATTAAATAGCAGCATGATTACATCCTCTGCTCTATTGGAACTCAAGAGGCCAGGCAACCTTCCACTGGCATAGCCAGAGGGGTGAAATTTATGCCTTGGATTTGTTGTTAAGACTGAGTCTATCTTGCTTGACTTTGTCTTCTTCTCACAGGGGTATAACTGACTAGGTACTCTTTTGCCACTTCCTTTGTACCAATATAGGATGAAGTAGTATCAGCATTTCGTGGATTTTTATTATTCCAGAGCTGACAGAGTACCGCTTTGATTTTAGTAAAATAATTAACAATTAAGTTAATATTATTGACTATGATGCAGACACTGAAATAGAATTCCTTGATTAAAAAAAAATAATTTTTAAGTATATAAACAAAGCATGCTATTTATATACAGAAAAAAGACAGAAAGACAGCCTGATTTTACAGATTTGTTATATATACATCTGCTCAGTGTGGGAATTTACGTGCTCAGAATTGGATGATGCTGTACATACATATTGCTATATTCGAACTTCTATGCGTCATTTGTTTTGTTCCACTGGGCAATCCTGGGATAGAAGAAAGCCCAGCTCTAATTTCCATACTTGTTTTTAATCAAGGATCCTTAATTACACAGACTTTCTTCCTAATAGCATCAACTAGGTTCTTCTAATTAAAAATTGAAAATAAATTTATACCTAAGTAACATGATAAATACACAGTCTTAATTCTTTAAGCCTTTTAATAAATCCAGCAAATTCCAGTGATAACACAAAAAAAACCCAAAGAGAATGCTTTAAAAAATGTCAAAATGAAATTAAGATAATGAAGCATTAAAAAAAAACCCAAACAAATAAAATGTGTGCTTAAGTAACTAAAAGGTGAGACCTAAAAATATAAAACAAAAAAAAAGAGAAAAAAAATAATAATACCAGGAATTTAATTCTAAAATATTAATTACAGTCATGTAAAATATGAGTTAATGGGATTCTGATAGGACAGACAGATAAGACATTTACTACAACACTTTGTTCTTGGTTTTTGCACACGGAGCACAGTTGAAGCAAGGCTTGCACTCCTCAAAGTTGTTGAAAAATTACATACCAATTTCCAGTAAAGTGGAAAATACAAATTGTTTCTGTCGGCAAAGCTCTATATATTCATCATTTCTTTCCTGAGTGATGATCTAGTGTTACAATGTCAGGAAGTTAATGGATTAATGTAGAAGTTAATGGTGAGAACAACACTTTTGGAAATAGGCTAGTAATGGATCTTTCCATATTTTTATTATAAAACCTGGTTTGGAAGGTTTTATAAGCTCGTTTATATTCACATGGGAATGGGCGAAGAGAAAGTAAAGTTTATGGGCCATTAATTTACAATACAGACAAAATGTTATGGTAACATTTCTATGTAATACAGTGAAGAGTCAGTCTGCTCTGATGTTTTGGCTGGAAAAAAGTAGCTGTATGCATGCATAATTTTGAACTAAGAGAAAGGTAGAGTATAATAAAGATGGACAGACCTAAATGTAGAACAGACACTAGCTACAAAAGATCTACAAAATTGAAATGATAATTACTGTAGAATTTATTTACTTTGGTCTTATATATTTTATTATATTTGTGTAAATATTTACATTTATGTGCTTATTGTATATAATCATGGCAGGAAAGGAGCTCAATTGGCAGACTATTTCCAAAACAACCACTTGCCCATATCTGGTAAGTGGTTTCCCACAAAATTATCACCTCTCCTGACTACATCTCCGTACTTAACACAGGGGAATGACTTTAAAAAATCTTTTAGGCAGCTTCGGCTTAAGTGAGCGTAATTAAGTGAGCTTAACCATAACATGTTCAGATGATTTTCAGGAGGCAGGATTAGTAGCCTTCTTCTGATGTTTGATTGGTAGAAATAGCATTGCTTGTTCAAAACAGACAGTCAAGTTGCTGTCTTAGTACCTGAGATTATTTTCTGCACAGTAATTAGATGATCTGTTCTCTCATGAAGGAATAACATGGAAAAGAGAGAAATACATGTTTTCAGTTTTAAATTATGGAGAGGAAAGGAGGAAAAAAAAAAAAAAAAAGAGAATGACCAAGATTTAAAAAGCTTTCTTAATACTAAGAAGCATAAATTAACATTATAAAGATCTCAATAGGTTTACTAGTAGTATTTTGCTGTATTGCAGATTTAGTGGTGTTCCAGTAGATGGCACTAATTACATAAACAATTCACTAAAATAAAGTAAATTTAAAAAAAAAAAAAAAAAGTGCAAGCACAGGTATTAATTGTCCAAATCAGTATTATTTCACAGTATAAAAAAGACAATTAACTAGAACATATTATTTCAGTACATTTTTCTTCTCAGTATAATTCAACATCACAAATAGTGGTAGTCTGAATAACGCTTAATAATGCATCCATCTATTTGTGTCTCAGAGAAGAATAATCAATATTCTAATCAGTGTTTATCAATTTGAACTGTCATTTTTATCTGACATTTAGTATTTTGTTGCTTGGTCCTCTCAGGATTAGAAGTAGTCCTATGGTCTTATGACTAAAAGAATTTACATTTAAAACATAAAAACGTTTAGAAACCTGACCTTAGTTATCAGAAAATCTAAGAAGTCTTGTTTCTTTTTTTTTTTTTTTTTTATATTGGTGGTATAAGTTGTTGATCTCCTTCTCTAAAAACTATACAGTGTGTGTGATCATTTTATGTTGATACGAGGTTTATTCTTATTATTTTTCTCTTTTTACTTCAGCAATTTTCAAAAGAAATACGACAATTGCAAATAAATGTAGATGTGGCAAACGACATGGCACTTAAGCTGCTCCGTGATTATTCATCAGATGATACCAGAAAAGTAGGACTGATGACAGATAACATTAATGCTACGTGGGCTGCCATTAATAAGAGGTAGGATATAAATTCTACTATTAGATTTGTTGTTAATATTCATTAACATTCACAGTCCAGCTTTGGTTGGAGATCATAGAACATGTAACTTTCGAAAATGACGTGGTTATAGGGAGAAAGGAAAGAATGGTGATGACTTCTGTTGTATTTTTTTGGAAATATGTCTTTGGAATGCCATGTAATTCACTCAAATAAAATTTTGTCTCCTGACGATTTTCTTCTGCTGTAACCTGTTGCCAACTAACTTCAGTTGATAAGTCATATATTTTAAATATTTAAAATGAAGTAGTTTATCTCTACATCACAATCACTATAGTGATTTTGAGTCATAAACAGAATCTGAAAATGACAGACATAACCTATTGAAGCAGGTTTAAATTAGAAATGTTGTTTTGTACCTTTGAAGCAAATCTCTAGTCAGGAAAGTTTTTACTAGAACCTTGATCACATTCTTGATTACGTTTCACAGTCTTACAGTGTTTGGTTTAGATATTAATTCCTTACTAAAAGCAATTTCTGCAGCTTGCCACCAAATTATGAATAATCCAATATGCAATCTATAAGATCATAACATATTGCAGAAGAAAAATCTCTTTGTAGCAGTAAAAGAATTTTAAATCGTTGCACGTTAGATGAGATAGGTAAAAATTAAATCAAAGTTGTTTTAATCAGTATCTTGGATTAAGTTTTATAGCTTATAATTGAAACTAGAACTGAATTAGATCTTAACATGTTTTTAATTAAAGTCTATGAACAAGGCCAGAAAAGTCAGTTTAGTTAAATATATAATAAATTCAGGAGATCTTCCTGTGTAATGACAGTTTCTTAAATCACTGATGACTACAGAAATTTATTCCCACTTTTTGATTTCTTTTTTATGAAAATGATATTCATTAGTCACTTTTCAACAACATTTTTTTCTGAAGAAGACTTGATCCTGTTCAAACCAGAGAAGAGATGCTGTTGATGTCCACTAAAAGAAAGCTACACAATAATTTGAAAGCTTTTTTTATTATTATTTATAAGGGCAATAAATAAACTGAGACATTAGTATAAACATTCAGTTAATATCTGCTTGCATTTCTCCTGTTATAGTAGTAGCCATTTTAACCTTATTATCAGTAGACATATTTTTAAGAAAAAATGTTTTGCTCTCTGTGATCTGGTAAATGGGCTGATAGGAATATCTGTTCCTGGGTGAGAAGAGCTGGGTGTCTAATGCTCAAAACTATTCTCTACAGGTGAGTAAAATCAGTAGCTCAAAAGGGTTAGATGGGTGAAATAAAGGAAATTGCTTTTGTCTGTGTATAGAGCTACAACTTCTGTTTGATGAGATGGCTTTTTAATCCCCTAATCCACGATATGTCTGTAGATACCGTGGATGCTCAGGTAGCAATTATAGCTAAAAGGGCATCTTTAAATCTGTTAATACTTCAAGCACAAACCCAGGTGTGTCTAATGTTGCCTAAATGTGAGAATTGCCATTGTTGCATGGATTCAGCCAAGTACTAGGCTAACAGAATACAAATTCTCCAAGACACATTCCTTTCAACCTTCTACAAAGCCCACAGACTTGTTCACAGCTCATGTGTTAAATGAATTACTGTAGTAAATGTTTTATGTCTTAGAAGAGAACTGTTTAGGTGACTGAGTTGACATTTCCTATTAAGAAGTACAAAAGGATAGGATTGCACTTGAACAGGTAACTGTAAAACTAGAATTTCCTGGTTTTTGAACGTATGACTTTACTACCTTTCTGATTTTTTTTTTAATTCAGTCTTTTGTGTATGTTTTTGTAAGATTTCTCATTATTTCAGAACTTAAAAAAGAAGCACACTACAAACACTAGTTGATAAACTTCAAGGGCTGTATCACATTTCTGTCTATCTCCTGTGAGACATTGATAAATATGGACATACTAAGGCATCAAGTCAGCAAAACACTTGTGCTTGGAAGATTTTCTGCACCTGTAGATTTCCAGGTTTGTTTGAAGCAGTAGCCAGGCCTTTTGCTCATGGAGCAGCTCCTGAGTGAGGTCTTGAAAGAACCTCCTAAATTTCTTTTGTTAAGCAGCTATCTGGAAAGAGAAGATAGAATCCGTTGGCCTTTGGATGACTAAAATGACAAGTCATTCTGGGTTTTTTTGGAGTATTTGTTTTGGTTTTGTCTCTCACTACACTTCAGCTTTCAGGTGATCGAATAGAGCAAAACAAACTTATTCTTTATGGTTTGGGGGATCTTTTGAACTCTAAGAGAATATTTACCCAGTGGGAAGGAAATATGTGAGCTGTTTGTCACAAGCTCCAAGAAAAACTAGTTTTCCACTGGGATGTGTATGCAATGACTTCAGATATATCTATGAGCGTTCTTTTTGTCTATACCATGAGTAAGTAGTGCTCTGGTGACTCAGTGACCTCACAGTGATATAGAAATGTATTCCAAATAATGGTCTTGACCATTTCTCCAGTATTTTAAAAATAGCTTTATCACTGTTTGTACACGTCTTAAGTGCTAAGAGGAAATATTCTGCTAAATATTACAATTTCTTCTCCCTATATCCTTAATTTAAATAGCTTAATTATTTTGTAGATATTGTCTTTTAAAAATAAAAGTTAAGAGTGGCTTACATTGTTTTGAACTGGTTTTCCTGTAACCTGCTGTTAATATCAGAATTGTCTTGGTGTAAAAAACCATGAAAACTCCTTTTCTGTGAACCAGGCTAGTAAAACAACAGGCAGGCAAGCAGCAGTACAATTCCACTTTGCCTGTTGGTAATAGTTCAGCCAGAGCGAGTACTTTAGTCATTAAGGCAACATCTGCCAGCTTGTGTTTTGTTTTGCTTAAGTAGATTTGCAGCTGATTGCTGTGTGTTTACCCTTTGCCTTACTGTTCTGTTTTATAACATTGAACTATAACAAGTAACATTCCAACTCCTTTAATAGCCCAGTTGGTGAATGCTTAATGGTTGCTTCATTTTTTTCATTTGCCACTTTTTAATTTTCATTTTTGCTGTTGATACAGCAAAAGTACATGAACTGATCAGTTGGGAAAAAGCCAGAATGGCTGCTTGTAAACACGTCTCTTCCTCTTCCCTTCAGAAGCGTTGACTTTCCAAGAAATAACTAGATTATTTAAGCTGAGGCAATTAAGGAGAATGCAATCTGTATTGCTTGTATTAACAGAAATAAATTTAACAGATAAACTAAAGTGTTCTCAAGAGAAAAAAAATGAAATAACCATTAGAAATTTACTATATATGAAAACATTTGTTATAGTAGTGTCATGGTTTAACCCAGCTGGCAATTAAACACCAGGCAGCAGCTCTTTCACTCTCCCCCACCCCTGAACGATGGAGAAGAGCATCAAAGGAGAAAAGGGAAGCAGACTTGTGAGTTGAGATAAGAACAATTTAACAATTGAAATAAAATGAAATTAAAAATAATAATGATTAAAATTAACAAAAATCATGGTAATAAATGATAATACATAAAAATGATAGTAATATATACAAACAAGTGATGCACAGTGTAATTGCTCACCACCCATTAACCAAGGCCCCACCTGTCCCTGTTAGTGATCCTGAAACAGAAGTCCTGAAACCACAATCCTGGAAGAGCAAGAGGCCTGAAGAAAGAGAAACTTCCTGGCCAACCATCATCTGTGGGCATGACATTGCATGTTATGGAATATTCCATTGGCCAATTTGGGTCTCAATCCTAAGACTCAACTCAAATACTAAACTAGGAGTTGTGAATCCTTTGCTCTGGCCATGCTCCCTCCCAGCTTGTGGTGTACCTGGCAAAACATAGGAAGCTGGAAAGTCCTTGATGTCTCAGCACCAACTGTGATCAGTATGTTACAATATTCTTCTTATACCAAATCCCGTACTAAATCCAAAACACAGCACTAATCTGGCTACTAAATGAAAACTAACTATATCCCAGCCAAAATCAGGACAGGTAGTATTATGTTACTCTCTCTTTTTTTGAACACTCATATTTTACATGAATTGTCATACAAAAATAAACACTTGCTTAAATTTGTTCCTTTCCTAGGAATCTCCCAATTATTTAAATTTCACTAACTTAAATATTAAACTGAAAAGGGACTTAGATCTTTCTTAAGTGGAGTATGTATTATGAAAATAATTACTTAACACACTCTGAAAATTGGTTAGGACTCCAACCCACCACTGCCTAAAAGACATCTTGAAATATTAACATTGGCCACCAGTTCCTATGAAGGATGAAGACGAAGTTCAATGGAACTCAGGCTGTACAGTAGGTCTTAAGAGCTTTCACTGCTCAAGATGCTATTTTTGATCTCTGGAGACAAGATGCAGGACACATGCATCAGTCAAAACATAAAAAGTAACTTTATTTTCCCCACCACAGGGTGTGGGCAGTGAAGAATCCATATGTAATTAGATTTATGTTATTAATAGTTTAAGTTGTAGTGAGTTAGAGCGGGAGTAGCAAGGATTTGAGTTTCTACGCAACCTGTTTGAAAGATCTGAGATACCAACTCCCATGTTTATCTAAGAATGGTGTTAATTCTCTAATGCAGCCTGTTGTACAAACACTTTGATTTGGAAGTCAACTGAACAATACGAAAAGCAAATTGCCAAACAAAGGGCATAAACAGTGGAGAAATAAGTTGCATATGTTTCTTATGTAAATGCATAATATAACAGTAATTGTAAGTGTGAAAAAGTCATAATTTACTTTTGATCTTCCAGCAGCAAACCTTTACTTATCAATGGCTACTCTTTATGAAAATACAGTTGATTGATAGAATGTGAACTTTATCTGTATGCAATATTTGTGAGTATAATTATATTGCCTGTACAGAAAGAGCTTGACTATTCTACTGGAGACAGGTTTTCTTAATATACTGTACCTGTCCTAATGCTGCTTTGCTTTATGGTGCTTGTGGAAGTAATCACATTTGCGTTACAGTTGAATTGCATTCTGGGTGAGAAAAACTGAATTTACACATCA